AACACGTTTTCGTCTCAGGAATTACTATCACTAGTTCTCGATGAACGCATGATCAATTTTGCTTATGAACATCAAAACAGTTGATGTTAACCACTGAAACAAATCAGAACTTCCCACCAAAAATGACTCGACCGTCCCTCCCGGAGCTGTCCTACGGTGATGCAAGCAATTCTGGCAGTGCCCAAATACGCGTCGACCCCGGTTTATGAAAATTGATTAATATGGACAAAGCCTACTTCTTCTCTCTCAAATATGCTTTTTTTAGGTCCTGTCCACGGACTGCCATTAGTAATTGTCAGCAGTATGAAACCTAGTTAAGTCTACTTAGGATGATAATTAATTCTTGGCTATTATGTGTATTCTTGTTAAAACCTTTCAGGTTTTCAATTTACGAAACCAGTTAAAAATTGCTTTTTGGATACATATTTTGCATCTCAAATAGCTGAATTGGGTGTTGCCGGCCGTCTGAAATATAACCCTACAAATGCAACTGCATTTTGATCGACTTCTCCATCTTGTCATTTACAAATGCATACGTTTCGAGGTGTACATTGGTAAAAATCTCACAACAGCCGCAAAATATTCCAGACGACTTACTGCACGCGCGCGGATCCCGGAGGTCCAGGAGAGAGGTTAGTGTGCCGAGTTTACTTGGTCGTCCTTTGATGTACGAACTTGTGACATTTTGTCGCTAACCACGACTGTGGGTCAAACCGGACTACAAGACTGTGATATTTGACATGTTATTCATATGCTTTGGTGTCACATTAAGCGAGGAGGTGCACGGACTCATAGAACAAGACTAGAGCAAGCATCGGAGTCAGAGTGTGCGAAAGATAGCAAACTGTATGGAAGAGTAAGGAGGACGGGACTCAAATATTATCAATTGAAAAATTTTGATTAATCACTGTATAAAACATACGAACGGTTGCATAATGATGTACAGAAGAATTGTGTTAAGGCTGCTGGACCACTTCGGATAAAGAACTATGATCGTCGAAACCATATGCTGGAAAGCCCATCAGACGCCAGGCAATAAGGCCGAAAGGCACACTACCACGACAGAAAACTTGTGGGGTCGTTTGCCAGATCTGGGGCAATTGCGCACATAGTAAAAACGTCAGAGAAACCTGGGGATATCTCCAGACGTCGATGACCAAGAACACAGCATCGGTGGGCATAAAAGGCATTAGCACTTAAACATCAGCTCAGTTTACGGCAACCGGCCATATTTCCAATTTTCGAGACCCCATTCCTTACAAGGATTGACAACCGTGTGAGCCCTTACCATATTAGGTGCGGAGGTATTTCCTGTGGAAGGCGTGAGCGAGCAACAATCCCAGATCGTGAAATTGCGACAATTAATTACTCGGACGCTGATTGACGAGTTATTATCGCCTCAATTTTGAATCCTACCGGTAATAGCGCAAGCTTTAATTTATAGTACCCATGTGTTCCTACGGCAGCTACACAATATACGTAATGCATTCTGTGTGACTCGACTGCCCTTATTTGCGGCTGTCTCGGATAATGGGTTTGCGTGGGGCCAGTAAAACACTCTGTTCCAGTGGTCATGACGTTATCTTCTGAACTGGTTCCTGGATCACCGATGTTCGCTTTAAAAGACAATGCAAATATAAGTTGGCATAACGAAAAATTATTTTATTCATCAATTTCAAGGACTCCTCCACTTTGCTGCCTTCACACAGAATGTCCAACTGTTTTTTTGTTAAAAATAAAAATAAAACTTTCGATCGCGTACCCTTAGTGGGTTTCGTAAAAGGGAATTGTTGGATATAGAATGGCATATTGAAGCACTTGAAAATGTCCGCCGGAGTTCTAAAGGGGATTGGCAGATGCTATTTGTATTTGTTATACAGCAGTAAGTGTCTGAAATTGATAGATGTCTCCAGTATAAAATTATTTAAACCAAGTATCAGATATCTCGGTGGTTTCCTGTGGTCCACATAATGGAACGTCGTATACTTGTAGGTCAAAACCCACTTGTCGATTATGATAATCCGTTTAGGAAAGAAACGGGGTATTATGAAGTAACAATTGCTCATGATTGGGGTCACATCTATTCATTGGTCTTCCGAAGCAAACAAGCTTTAATTGCGTGGTAGAGATCAAGAACAGGCAATCAGTTAGCAGACCGAAGTCGACAAAACTATACTACCAGTGGAGATACAACGGGTTTTGGGGATAAACTAATTGAGCGTTATTTCAGGCTTGTTGGCTTTGATTCCCTCAATCATACTCCCGCTTCGATCGGAAAAACAAAAACTTCGACGGACCGGCGTTCACCAGTGCCTCGTTGACTGCCCCTATCGGTCACTGAAGGTCAGATGTTTACTTACACATGGCATGACGTGCACCGTTTATGCTTGCTCCCTTCTCCAGCCAAAGACGGGAATAGCAACAGTTGAGGAGACAGGTGGTTATTGCGCTAAGTTGCATGGAAGTTTTTTCCAGAGTTAGAGTGAATGCCATACTAAATTTTACGATAGGATTTGAAGTTTACTCAGGCTGGAGATTTTGTTACTGCTAAAAAATCCCTCCTGGCGTTTAATGGAAGATCATCTAAATGAAAAGAAATTGGATTTTCAAGTTTGCGTCTTGGCGGTATCCACATAAGGTAACCTCATCCAAACATCTTTCCAACTCGTACAATGTGCAACAAAAGTGCCAATGCCCTTTAACAAGTGACTAAACACAGTTTCCAAAGGATTTTAACACATTAAGTACAAATTCTTTAACGGTTTTATTTTCAATGTGATGACTTTTATGACAAGGGCAGTGTCATTTGACAAAATACGAAGTTCTCCGCGTGCCATCGTTTGGATGTACTGCGGAAGGCTGAAGAGGCATATGGGATCACCGGCTTTTAAGCCGAATCAGTTTTTCCTAATATGCCCCTTATGGCACAATCACGCATTTCATGTTCCAACCGCCTACCAAATTAAAGCCTGGACAAATTTTGTTTATATAGCAATGATTTTCGCGTGTAGACTTACTATTGAGAATTATTAGGCACTGGTACTGGGTAGTCGAAGAACGTTGCAAATGCCTTAGTTGTTAAACATATCGATTTGTTGAGGTTTCAAATTGTCTTTCTTCTGCGCTTGTAAGATTGTCTTTCAAGCAGGCAACACAAAATAAAATACGCTCACTTGGGATAGCCAGCTAATGTCATATGGACTGCTTATGTTGAAATGTTAAAAGCGAGGTTCGAGTGCAAGACCGTGTTCCCGGTTTGGGCCATAATTCTACCTTCTATCACTAAAAATGTTTTAAAGTAATTAGTATTATGACTATACAAAGAAGATGACCAACTGTCTCAGACGGCATCCTATCTAGCCCACACTGCTGTAGGATGCGGGACAGATGGCGTAAGTGCGGGTTTTTGACGTCTTGTTGGATGAAATTGAAGAGTCCCGTGTCAGTTTGATGACTGATGTGTGTCTAAAGATGCAAACCCTCGTGGCCTTACGATTTGCCATGCCCCTTAATCGGCCTGTCTGTCAGGTCAGGGCAGATTGGTTTGAGGCGGTGTTAAACCTTAGCGTGAATTATTGCTTTCCCAGACGTGCATACAATCCCAAGCCCCTAGGTCGACGCAAAGGAACACCCCAGGATTCAGTTAGTGTACAGACTTATTCAGTGAAAAAAAAATTTAACGAAATCAAATCGAAATTCTGAGGTGATAGACCTAGAGGTGTGACTGGAATCTGTGTAGACCGTCATCCTAAGTGAGGCCTATAACACTAAGTGTTTAATTTTCTAACTTTGTCCACGCCGAACACCAATTTCCCGAAGACAGCAAACATACTCAGAATGCCTTTGCTCAAAATATATTGTGCAGGCCTATTTTCATTTTATTCAGTATGGTTGGTAAGGGTAACAGGCAATTCATTTGTTTAAATTACCATGCATTTTTAAGTTGACCTGACTATAGAGCAATTTAAAATTTGCAAATGCGGTCAGTTAACCAGTCCTGAACAGCTAACTGTTTCACATTCTAGAAGAAGCATCAGAGTGAATCCGGTAGGCGCATAAGCAAAACGTTAGTTGGTTAGTGCTGTTTGCTGGCTCACTGTCTCCGTGATGATTGCTCGCCCGCGCCCACCCCACGTGACTGATTCTCCTGCCACTGGGAAAATCGCAGTACGGAATAGGTTACCGGGAAGTCATTGTGCTTGTTGATGGATTGCGGGCCTGAGAACCCTGACTAGAGCTGCTCGCGACTCAAGCGGTTGTCAACCCTTGCGAGGATTTCGGCCTCTTAAAATTTGAACATATGGCCGGGTCCCGTCGAGTGTGCCGCCAACTGAGATTTAGCGTCTCCCCGCCTCACTGCTGCTGCGTGCTCGGCAATTCGAGTTCGGAGTAACCTCCCAGATTCTCCGACATAATTTTTTTGCCCACAACAACACTAGATCCGGCAAACGACTCCAGACTATTCCTGCCGTGGCAGCGGATCTTTTGGCCTCATGATTTGGCGCCTAATGGTTGCTTCCGGCCTGTGTGCAACACCAAATCCAGGTGGAGTGAGAAGACGACTGACGGCTTCCGAGACATTTTTCGCGTACGGAAGAGCCCGCCAAAATTCGGGGTCGGTTGAATTTGGTCTCTGGTGTCATTTTGTATGCACTGGTTGACAAAGTTGCGCGGGTAACCATTGCCTCAGAAAATCCGTCGAGATATTGGAATTCGGCAAGCTTGTTTTCCAGTAGGACACTTTGTGTCCAATGAGATTCTTCGCTTCGTCTATCGCTACCGTCTGGCTGAGTACTGATTCCGCTGCTGCGATCATGTTGGCAGGTTTGGCATCGGCTGTGTTGATTGAGGCCTCATGACGTAAAACCTGCATTTGTTCCTCCGTCAGCTCATTTGACGACAAGTTGTGACAGACGAAACGAAGAACCTCATTGGACACCAAGTGTCCTCCACCCTCATGGCTTATAGGACGCGCGACGTGCTTTCCAAGGTCGAGCGTGATGCGCTTAAGGAACTCAGGACCGACAACGACCTCCTTATCGTGCCTGCGGCCAAGGGACTTCAACGGTCGTATTGGACAGGACAGACTACAATCAAAATCCAAAAGCTCGTTGGAGGATCGTCAGTCCTATGTCCCATGCGAATCCAACTCCATGAAAACGCTGACACGCGAGAGTAACGCGACGCTGTTGGCATTGGAGAATTCAGGTGCAATATCGCCAATCGACCGACGCATGACGAGAGCACAAGAAACGGCCCTAGCCCGATTCTACGGTCTCCCAAAAGTGCACAAAGGGGGCACTACTCTCCGGTTTATCGTATCACTAAAGGGCACTCCAACCTACGGACTGCCAAAGTGGTTGATCCAACGTCTCAAGTTCCTGACCTCCGATTCAAACACCACAGTCAGCTCGTCAACGCAATTCTTGGAGAAACCAAACGGAGTAAGTCTCCTGCCAAGCGATATCATGGTTTCCTTTGATGTCACGTCCCTTTTTACTTCTATCCCGCAGGACCTGGCAGTCGAGACCATCGAACTACTCCTAAGAGAGAAATACGACGGAACGGAGAATCGCCTCGGACACGCCCAAACAATCCAGCTCCTGAAGTTCTGTCTCAAGACGTACTTTACGTTTGACGGAACAATCTCCGAGCAAATGAAAGAAACGTCAATGGATTCACACTTACTGCAGAGAAAATGACCGTCCTACGCCAGTATCACTAAAAGTTTTGATAAACTACAAATTCATCATTTTTATCACTGGACAGTTTTACGGATAGGTGATCCGTCCTCCATGTTAATTTTCAGTAGGTGATGCAGCAACGCGACATTCAGTTCAACTTGCACTCGAAAGACATCGCCATGAGAGAGTCTGGATAGATACTATTAGCGGGAAACATAACGTTAATGGGGAACAACAGTTTTTCATACACATGTACCACGCCCTATCAACAATGACATAATTCGCTTTTACCCAGCAAATAAAGCTTGCGTTCTGCGTAAAAACAGACAATGCTGGAATGTATGAGAAAAAGTAAAAAGAAAGGATTATCGCGTTGACAATCTTACTAGGGATCATAACGACATATCAGACGTGTAAGACTTTCTGTTCCCATCGGGGTGACCATAGATGGTAATGTTGAGCAAAAGCCATGTTTCTATCGTGGTCATTTTTGAGCTATGGGCACACTATACACACCCTAAATGTTTAAAAACGTAACATATTAATTTCCGGGTATGTGGGATGAAGACATCACTGCACAGTAGGACACCTTTCTCATAGTTCCAAAAATAAAAACGCTTTAGTAGAGGGGGATGGCAAGTTATGTGTTCAAGTTCGACACGATTGCGGAGTGAACAGTATAGGCGAAAAAAATCATTTGAGGCATAACTCGTGAAACAACCTATTGAAGGTCGGCAAGTACTATGAACGACCGCTTATTTCAGCATGTTAACAAGAACTTACAGCAGCTGACCTGACAGGAGATGTTTTCTTTTTGTGCGCACGTGAACTGATGGTATACTTAGTCTAAGTGCGGTTACTCGATGCATACGCAAATATTTCTGCATCATACAAAGCAGGTTTTGGCATAAACAACCAAGTCCTACGTCTGTTGCAACACTGTTTCTTGCCTGACAGTTATTTCCACAGTGAACCCTCTGCGCTTGTTACTCTGCTAGTTATTGAATGCTTTTTGCTTCCGTAAATTTGTCGGAGAATAGTTGGCCATTTCACAACGTTGCTGAGCCCCAGAAGAGAGGGTCGGTGTCATTTACGCAAAATGTTCTTGGCTTTATACGATGAAAAAACAAAGGAATGCACTCACTCGGCATCTTCGCTACCACCAAGACAGGAATATCCAGAAGCGTCATATCAGCGGCTTAGCATTTTAAGAAAAATAATAATCCGTGTTACGTGCTTGAGGAGAAGAAAAAAACGTCGTGTACCGGACTTACGAAATGACGGAAATTGATATTGCCTAAATTCACTAAGACAATAAGGGCCTCTGAACACTGCCTTCTTAATGGGCGCATGTCGAATTCATTGAAAATGTGAGTTTTATATACGATCATAATGCTATACCTACGAACATTATTTTGCTGACTTCTTTGCGAAAGAGAGTTGAGATATTATTAATAAAGTGAAGTCCACAAGTACAATAATATCGTCGACATCTTCCAGGAATCTAGGCAATTCTAGTAATAAACGACCATAAAAAGTAATTCTTTAAGAACCACAGAACGGTTGGCTTAGGAAATGTCTGAAATGCATGCAGAGGAGTGATCGGATATTTCTAAACTAAAAATGCTTC